TTAGAGTTGCTACAAGGTTAAAATATGGTTTAAATTAAAGGTATTAAATTTTGTCATAAGAGAAATAGTTTGTTGGCGATTTATATCAGGTTGACCTGCTACTGCAAGGTCAACAGTTCAAACCCACCAGCCACTCTTTGGGAGATGAGGTTGTCTGCTCTTGTAAAGATTTGCAACTTCAGAAACCGTATCTCACTTTTCTACTCTGCTATAAGGTGGCAATAAAAGGCAGCAGTGGAAAGACCAGGAAGCCAGTCCCAGTGAATGCAAATGTTTTGCTGGTATTCTTGAAGCATGAATCAAATGCCCTGTTTTGTATGGCGTAGTGGTTACGAATCGGGCTGCGACCCGCAAGGTCAGCAGTTCGAAACTACCAGCTGCTCCGCGGGATAAAGATGAGGCGATCTGCTCCCATAAAGATTTACAGCCTGGGAAACCCTGTTCAGGGTCGCTGTGGGTTGAAACCGACTCGACGGCACTTAACAACAACAACAACAACAACATATATTTATATGGAGCTCTGGTAGCGCAGTGGTTATGAATTGGGCTGCGAGCCGCAAGGTCAGCAGTTCGAAACTACCAGCTGTTCCGCGGGAGAAAGATGAGGCATTCTGCTCCTGTAAAGATTTCCAGCCTCGGAAACCCTATACAGGGTCGCTATGAGTCGGAACCTACTCCATGGCACATAACAACAACAACTATATAACATTGTAATCTCAATTCTTTGAAAACGTAAGTATCATTCATTATCAACATAAGCTACCACATTATATCAATTTTATATATTTTAAGTCCGTCCTTCCAGTGTCCCCTGTGCAGTAGGGCTTTTTTTCTCATCCCAATTAAGCACCAGGAAACTGAAGAGAAATAAATTATCTAACAATGATTCCAACACATCTAACTCCAAAGCTTGTGCTCTTCACCTCTGCATCCTCTAGTAGAAAATTTAACATTCGTTAGCAAAAATATTGGCAGTTTATAATAAAATTTTGTTTATTCGAGGATGCAAGGGGAGAAAGGAAACCCTTATTAAGGAGTGCCGGAAGGAACAGCATATTCAAACTTTAGCAAACATTTTTAAGAAGGCATAATGAAGCCACACCACACTCTAAGTTGCTAGGCAGAAAACTGCTTTCTTGACTTTATTTCAAAAGTATACAAAGGTCACACAACAAGAGCAAGTTTCTGTTTTGTTAAACAAATTTTGTTCTTACAAATTTTAAGATTTGCATCATTGAATCCTTAAAGCCAGAAATGTTAAATACAAAATTATTTTGAAACTGGCACAACTAGTTCTCTACTTTGCATATGTGACATTTGAAAATATTTTTCTCAGTAGTTCAATTCAAGTGTATTTATCACTAAAATTCACAGCTAGTGATAAGCCTAAGTGAATCAGTGGATTGTGGTTTCTTAACACTTAACACAAAACACAAGGTTCTTCCTTGATTGGAGTTTTTAACGTTCATAATGAACATCAAACCCAATTTATATTCGCCAAACATTTACATTAAAGAAACAGTGTTTGGAAATGTTCATTAGAATTAGTAAAAAACATTTGCTGTTACCATCCATAAAATAATCAGTTTAGCCTAAAGTGACATCATCAGAACCACAATTCACAAGTTTGTCTCCCCTGCTTTTTTAAATGGACACTGTGCTCAGTTACGGACTATTTTAGTGTTAAAATAGGCAAAGTAAGAAATTTTATTGCAGAATGTGCTGCCTGTATTGCAAGAGTTATCTAAAGGTATCTGAAATATCAAAACTTGCCCAGAATATCTTACTAAACACAGAAATGCAATAAAGATATATGTACATAAAATATATAATATCACACACCACTAAAAAGTTAAAGCTGTGCCAACATTTTCTACAAACTACTTATGAAACACATCAAAGCACTAATCACATAAAATAAGGACTTTTTCAGTTCACACTGGAATAAGGCATCTGAAAGCCCTAAAACACCATTAAGCCAAAAAAAGTAATTAAACATTCATGTAACTTCAAATATACATGCTACACACACATAAAAACATTAGGAATACTTCATAAGAAGCCATACATTACAGAAATTTTATATTCAACATCATGCAATGGGTTCCTTCTATATTTAACCAAAATGTTTACTTGCCCCTTGAATGTTAGTCCAAATTTCTAGGACTCAGTCTTAAACATTTGTTGAATTGAGAAATGATAAAAATAACATAAAAATTGAGATAAGTAATAAAAACCCAGTATTTCGAAACACTAAGGCTGTATTGCCATTGTAAAATTGCCATGGCAGATAGTCAAATTAGAAACAATTATTTTCTCAGAAAACTGGTCAGTGTGATCAATAGTTTTCTTGGGTTTTTTTTTTTTTCCCCTCAAACTTTTTTGCTTCCATAACTGGAGAAAGTTAGTAAGATTGCCAAGGAGGGAGAGGGGAAAAAGAAGCCAGGTTAATTATTCATATTCAAGACACAGAACTATATATATATATTTCATAGTATTACTGGTTTCACAGTTATCCTGTGTAACTTAAAAAGATGGTGTCACACAATTTAAGTATCAAGTCAAATTGAGCAGTTTTGCTATTAAGATGCAGTTCCATCCTTGACTCTAGTTTGGCTCTTTAGTGGAAATGTTTTTGGCTGTTGAACTATTAATGATTGCTAGTAATACTTCTATGACAAATATTTGATGTCTAATTCAACTGAAATTACCAGTGAGAATTATTTGGGAAGTTATCAGTGATAAACAGTGACTTTTGGGGCACCTGAAATTTTAAGGAGAGTAGCTGGAAGCACATGTCTAAAATTAAATTCTTGTCTTCTTAGTTTAATCATATTTCATAGTCTCTTCTGGTTACTAGATCATTCCTCAGATTGTAGTTGGTACTTATCTAAATGGAAAGCTTCCTGGAAGAGATTCTGATTTGCTTAGAGCCAAGTCCTAGATAAGTATGAAGGTAAAGGTAAAGAAAAGTCTTGCATATGTCTATTTTTATAGTGATTTCTAATTACAGTGATAGCAAAATCTTTATTGTATGAAAATCAGGAATAGAAATGACCAACCTTACTAGTATGAAAATTTGTGTTCTTCTACTTATTTATTCTTATGATAGCTTATAAATAAATTGTATTCATATAAAAGAGCCCAGACATCTTACATAAAAATAGTTATAAAAATCAGAAGCCATGAAAAAAGTCAAAGAATTTTGGTGACGTTGACATTTAAATTTTTTTACAAATAACACAGTCATTTAATTATACTCAAAAAGAACAGAGAAGAAGGGGCAAGATTCAATTCAAAGTGTAAGAACAGAAAGGTGTCACAGTGATGCATTTTTCTGGAACAGTACCTTCACCTCTAAGCACCTTACAAGTGATAGCTAGAGCTCATAGGCACCAGAAACTCATAGTACAAATTAAATTACCTAAAAGGCACAGATGAAAAAGTTAACAAAAGTATAAAAGCAATTGTGTATAAGGTTAAAAACTTATTTTAAAAATATGTCCAAACATGTAAAACTATACACTAACCCATTATACATTCAGCTTATGTTACCATTAAAAAGTGTATATAATACTTCATGCCTAATCATAAATTCATGCCAACATTAACTTATAATGTAGCATTTACCACCACAGCACCCAAAGAGGTTAACAGAAACCAACTCCCTACTAAAATCTAGGGAAAAGGTTTTAGAGCTAATGAAATCATTTACTGCAGACCTTTTTTTATCTATAAACTGTTGGTTCATTCTACTATATCCACACTCCCTCACAATCTTAAGGGAAATACAATAAATTCACTTTTTTCAACTAAAACAGTACTCGTATTTAACACATTTGGCAGTTAGGAGTATTTGTTCTACTCCTTCTTCTTTCTTTCCTTTTTGAAAAAAAAAAATCACTTTCACAAACTAATACTCATAGTTTTTCAAAGCTCAACTTAATTTTCTCAAACTACAGACATATTGGCCATACAATAGCAACTGTACATCCTCCCAAGTCTGAAATACAGAATTGATGGAGGAGGCTTACTCTCTTAAAATTTATTTGATTATTCTGAGTCTGTGAGGAAAACATTCTCCAAGAACTACATTTAAGAGAGTAAGGATTATATGTTTTATTAAATATAAAATATGTAACATCAAAAAAAAAAGGAAGCAGAGAAAACATTTAAAATTTGCAAGCAATAATTAGGGAATTTCAGTCTGTAATTACTAAGTAACAAGTAAGTTGTAAGGTTTTCATATTAGAAACTAGAGAGCCAGTGTTTGGTTGGGAACAGCCAATCCTTTTTTAAAGCCTGGATCTACGAGTTCAGTGAATTGAGAACGCTATATAATCCTAGTCCGTGATCTGGCCAGTCAGCAGTCTGAAAGCCTTGGATCACTTACCTACAAGATACATCCCAACTATTGCACCACAAGTGTCATCTCTGTGTGTAGTTGTCACTTGTTCATTTCTACATGAATGCGAGGACAGATGCCCAGTAACTTTAGCATATAAAAGAGCTTACTATGTCCCTGGCCCTGTAGTAGTGTGTCAGTTAAATATTGAAAAATTAGTTCACAGACAATGTTTATGAATGATTAAATTACTTAGAAGTAAACCCAGCAATTTCTAAACCATTTATATGCTATTAAAATATTCCAAATACATTTATTAGAATTTCTAGATGCTATAAAATCAAGAAGCATATATGTATATACAAGGGGGTTCAAAAAGTTTATGGAAAACCTCCATTTTCCCACTAAGTTTCCGAAGTCCTCTTATAAATATTTTGGCCATGAATGTTTCTTTACTGATCTAGGGTTGGGGAGGAGGTAATGGGCCATAAATTAAATGAGAAAGGCATCAAAAAATGAATTGTAGATGTTGGAAAGTACCACTTTCAGATGATTCAAGTATCAATTTGGTGTGTGTGTTAAGTTCACCTATTTCTTCAGCTACAGTTTCAAATTCAAAGTGCTACATATTAGGTATGAACACTTAGAAATTTAGTATTTCATTATCAACCAAACAAAACTTTTTGAAGTACATGTCTTATGGTTTCTAATTAACTTTATATTGGTACTTTCTCAAGCTGGCAACAAAATTTAGAACAGAATAACTGTTCATTACTTCAAGAGAAGACAAGAAGCATGAGGAGTGTAAATGAAAGATGTGGAGGGCCTTTATACTATGGACCCGTCCTTGCTCTGTGCTGGAATCATCACAGGAACCGCTCCCATTCTACTGAGATTAGGGGCTGCTACCTTAGTGGGTGGGAGAGTCGGACTCTGAGGAGCACGTTCAAAGTCTTCACTTGGTACTTGGTTATACTGAGTCTTGGAATAGGCTTCCATGTTGGACGGAGACATGGATCCCAGAGACGAATGATTGCTGCCAATGTAGCTCCTGGCAGTGGATGTTCGGCTCTTTGGAGGAGGCACGTCTTCCCTGGAAAGCAAAATCCCCAATACAAATAATAAGAATCCACTTTTTAAAAACCTAGTTATGTAAACTGTGAATCTTGGGTAGAGGTGGGGATTCTCAAGTATATTTGTTGTTGTTAAGTCAATTCCAAGTCAGTGAGACCCTGTATAGGGTTTCCGAAGAGCTGCTGGAGGTTTTGAACCACAGACCTTGAGGTATGTAGTCCAATGCTTAGCAATACAATGCTACACTGTTGTTAAGTGCCAACAAATCGATTCTGATGCACAGCAACCCTCTATAGGGTTTCCAAGGAGCAGCTGCTGGTGAGCTTCAACTGCCAACCTTGCAGTTCAAAAGACTTTGCAGTCCAATGCATTAACCCACAACACCTCACACAATTGGTGATATGCGTGGAGTCGGTTCCGACTCATAGCACCTTTGTATAGGGTTTCTGAGGCTGTAAATCTTTATAGGAGCAGAACGCCTCATCTTTCTCCCGTGGAACCACTGGGTAATTCGAACTGCCAATCTTGAGGTTAGCAGCCCAACTAGTAACCACTACACTACCAGAGCTCCTTCACCAATTACATTACTATTCTTTCTACTTTTTTGGGGTTCTACTTCCTTTTTAGTAAAACCATTTTTTATATACCACCAATTACACTGTTGTTGTTGTTATGTGCCGTGAAGTTGGTTCTGACTACATAGCGACCCTGTACAGGGTTTCCGAGGCTGTAAATCTTTACGGGAGCAGAGAGCCTCATCTTTCTCCCGCGGAACAGCTGGTAGTTTCGAACTGCTGACCTTGTGGTTCACAGGCCAATTCGTAACCACTATGCTACCAGAGCTCCTTTCCAATTACATCTGTTGTTGTTGTTAAGTGCCATCAAGTCGGTTTTGACCCATAGCGACCCTGGATAGGGTTTCTGAGGAGCATCTGGTGAGTTTGAACTGCCAACCTTACAGTTCAAACAGCTTTGCAGTGTGGCGCATTAACCCACAGCGCCACACCAGTTACATTACTGGTATATAAAAAGTGGTTTTACAAAAAAGAAAGTAAAACCAAAAAAAAGTAAGTAGAAGTAGTAATGTCATGAACTTTGTATTTGTTTTCAATTATAACATTTTAATTAAATAATTTATATCTTCAAAAATAATGAAACTATGGTTTTTATGCAAAGTTAAATGGTTCTATGATGTCTTACAAAGCGTGGAGCTTAGATACTTTCAGATTCTAGTGGTTGTTGGTGGTTGTGTGTTCTCAAGTCAGTTCCAAACTCTTAACGACCACTGTGTAGGGTTTCCAGGGCTTGTAAATCTCTTTGGGAGCAGAGATTCTTCATCTTTTTCCCATATAGCAACTGGTAGATTTGAACTGCAGACCCTGTAGTTAGCAACCTGGTTTGTAATCTTCTACACTACCAGGGCTTCCAGATTCTAGTACTACTCATCTAAATTAACTAGCCACATTCATGTAACAGAGTCCTGACATGGCTCTGTAGGATAACCAGTGGATTGGTGACCACAAGGTTGGAGTCAGCAGCAGTTGAAACCCACCAGCCACTCCTTAGAAACACTATACATGGTCGTTATGAGTCAGAACCAACTTGGTGGCACTTAACAATTCATGTTATACTTTATAATCTATAAAGCACTAATACCTAGATATAATTCTACGAGAAAAAATATTATCGCTATAAAAGTTAGTTATTTAAAGTGTCAGATGAAAGCCTTATAAATTTAGACATGCTAAAATTGTGAGTTTGGGCATAGGAATTTTAACGCCTTGACCATTTACAAATATGGAGTTCTGGTGAGGTGGTGGTAGGATAAGCACTAGACTACAAGGTGAATTTGATCCTCACAGTCAGTGGTTCAAACCAACCAGCCACTTCTCAGAAACCCTATTTAGGGTTTGGAACCAACTCAAAGACATTTACAAACATAATTATAACAACAATTTACAAATATATATATATATATATATATATATGTTACCTCTGGTCATTTAAAAGCTGTAAATGCCTAGACACCATACCAGACCTACCAAATGTCAATTTCCAGCATGTAAAGCCATATTTATTATTATTTCTAAAAGTTCTATAATCCATGATATATGAGGTTTTTTATACAAAGTTTAAGGTTCTTTGTTGTCTTACGGGGAGCAGAGCTCAGATATTTTCAGATTCTAGTGATTAGTGGTGGTTGTGTGCTCTCATGTCAGTTCCGATTCATAGCAACTCTGTATAGTTTCCAGGGCTTGAAAATCTTTATGGAAGCAGAAAAACCTCATATTTCTCTCATATAGCAACTGGTAGATTTGCACTTCGTTTAAAACTTCAACATGGGCCATTTTCTGGAAAAAACTCATGCCTGTCATTTTATTGGGAAATGGCCGCTAGTCTTGAGATAATCATTTTGCAGTGGTTCATACAGTCAGATCTAAGAAAATTGGAAGGGTAAGACACCGTAAAGGATGGCTGATTCCCATATTAAAATTAAAAACGTAAGTTTTCAAATGGGCTGAGCAGACAAGCCACAGATTTTAAACAATTGTCTTAAAATATTTTCTTTGAATAATTAAGAGAACCAAACTTTTTAAAGACATAATCAATTTGGTATACATCATTATAACCCTTTTTAATTTAATTACCTGATATCATGATGAACTTCTTTTTCATACTTTTCTTCTCTGCGCTTCTTGCGGCAGCAAAAGACAAGAAGACCAATGAGCACTACAGCAAGTAAAATTCCTATAATAGCTCCTGCAATTGTCCCAGCTTTATTTGAAGCTAGAATAAGAGTTTAATAAAAATATAATAGTTAAAACTATTCAGAGTTAAGATAATACACATATTGATAAGACTGATTTCACTGCATTTAATTTAAAGATAAATTAAGCAGACTTTTATGATCTAGGAGGGAAACCCATTAAAATAATGCATAATCTATATAAAGCATATCTATTACCCACAGCTATCAATTCTGACTCATAGCAAACTTATATAGCGTTCCCAAAGCTGTATATCTTTATTTACAGGAGTAGACAGACTCATCTTTCTCCTGAGGAGTAGATGATTAGTTTGACTCTCTGAACTTGCAGTTAGCAGCCCAATGTCTACCCCACGTCACCACCAAGTTTCCTTATACAAAGCATAGAAATTGAAAAGCAAGGCAACATAATTTTAATATTCAAAGCTGTCTTGGTTGGCATATAAGAATGTTCTAAATTGCTAGTACTTGTAATGGTTTTAAATATAGTTCACCAGAATTCTCTAATCTTGTTTGTATGTCACTACAATAGTGAAGATTTGAATATCAAAAGAGTATCTTCTCTTTTCCATAAATGATAAAAGCTAATAACCAAACCACAAAGTGTTTAGTTCAAAATTAGCATCTCCTGGCCTTCAGACACTTGCTTACTGAAAGAAAGATGCGCTGTGTAGAGATAACCGAAACAGACAGACATCATCACAACAAAGATACTTACGAGGAACAACATCCAGGCTTAGGACGCACTGATCGAGGCCCACTCTGTTTTGAACTGTACAACTGTATGTCCCAGAATACTCAGTAGTGGCATTTTTTACAGATATAACAGGTGAAGTCATTTCTATGGTGAGGAAGGAATGAGGGAAAAAGAACAAAATCCAGTTTTATAGTGCTGTTTTTCTGTTCTTAGTTCTGAGATTTTTATAAATGTAAATCCTATCAAATTTATCAATGCAGTTAAAAGCAGAAACTAAAAACTGAACTGCCCAACTGTAAGCAAGCAGCCATTCATGATTCCAGAATCAAGCAATTGTGCCTCTAGTTCACTTGTATCAAGACAAAAATAACCGTGATTGATTCCTTTACACAGGAACAGAGATCCTCAACTGAAGTGGATCCTATACACAATCCCACTGGTGCCATATATGATTGTAAGAAGTGCTCCATGCACTAAAGGCTTTTGGTGCAGCAGAAACATTTGCAAACAAGTATCTTATGCAAGAATTATACAAGAGAAAGTCAAGAAGGGATATCAGATCATCAAGTCTGGCCTCTTGATTTAAAAAAGGAAATAGAAGTGAACTACTTAAGATTTGGGTGGGGAGAATGGAAGGAGGGTAAATCATGTAAAGAATGCTGCATTCCTTCAAGTAGTAATTGGTGTGAACTACAAAGTCAATTAACACACCATGGATAAGTTACTGTTTCCAGTGTGAATAAACCAGGCAAAAAAATCAAGATCCAGTCCTTATAATTTGTTGTTGTTATTAAGAGCCATTGAGTCCGTTCTAACTCATAGTGACCCTGTATAGGGTTTCTGAGGTTATAAATCTCTGTGGGAGCAGAAAACCTTATCTTTCTTTTGTTTAATAATTTAGCCACTATCTAATTTATGAGCTAAACATTTCCCATTAATACTAACGTAATTTTTTTTAACATCTATTACAAAATAATGAAATCTACTGACAGATGTCATTACAGAATACTGAATCAATTCCAATGGAGACTTAGCTGTGCAGAAAAGGGAAGGCTTTTGGAAAAGAAAACACACACACAAACCAATAGGACTTAAGTTTAAATGAATGGCACATTCTAAAAACTGTATAATCAGCAGTACCTGCTAGCCATGAGACGGGCATTTTCTGAGTGTTGGACAATTTTTGCCATTCATATCGTAATGGAAGTGAACCTTCTTTTGGTTCACATTTTATCTTAAAGTCATTTCCAATTTCTTCTGATCCATCAATATAACATCTGGTACCTGAAGGCTTAACTGAGAAACAAACAAACCAACAACCATAACTTAATACAGGAGAATTGAATTAATTTTTATAATAAATACTTAAGCATACAGCATGCGGCACAGCCACTGACTCTGTTGGTCCTGCATTCAGAATTGACAAAAAAAGAGTAAAAAGCCACAATAGGTTCTCAGCACCAGTTTATTTTGCTTTAACCAACAAGGGGGAAAAAAAACAAAACAGGCAAGGAGGAGCTCAGGCAAGCAGCAATTGCATTGGGATGTCTGGCAACATAACAGGTGCAGCTGCTCTGTGCCTCTCCATTCCACAGGGGGGGGCATTTCAAAAGAGCAAGGATGATGATGATGCGGGTTCAACCAGTTAGGAATCAAGGAAGAATCCCTCTCCATGCCTTACCTATTCTTTTACTCCATGCTTGACATGAAGCCCTCTGGGAGTATGTGCCAAGTCACATCCCTGTAGGTGCTGCTACCCATAAATCAGAGGTTTTATGTAATGCATAATTCTACTAACAGGGACTACTTAACATTCCAATTACATTCATTCAATACTTCCCAGAGACAAATGTTATAAACAGGTTAAGTGTGAGGTTATGTTCCAGGTTTCCCTGAGAATACATTTAGATCAATTGTTATCTCCCCATTTGCTGCAATTCACGCAGTGTCAACCCTGGATTAACCCCCTGTCATCTCATACACTTCTACTGTACTTCATTAAAGCACACTAGGCATATAATGAAGATTTCGTTAACAAAATAGACTATTTTCTCCTTTCTGTAACTAAATTCATGGAAGATTACTTTAGGCAAGCACTACATAATCATCCCCCAACAAAGTTTCCTCATATCTATCACAGTCAATCTCCCTCCCCAATTCTAGCCAATCAGTCATTGGTGAGATTTCTATCCCTGTGGATTCGTTCTGCTTCCCTGTTGTTGTTGTTGTTAAGTGCCATCCAGTCGGTTCCGACCCATAGCGACCCTGTACAGGGTTTCCGAGGGTGTAAATCTTTACGGGAGTAGAAAGCCTCATTTTTCTCCCGCGGAGCGGCTGGTAGTTTCGAACTGCTGATTCACAGCCCGATTCGTAACCACTACGCTACCAGAGCTCCTTCTCTAGACTCATATAAATGGAATAATAATATAGCATGTACTTTCTGGTCACTCCTTTTATCTTTTATTCAACATATATTTGAGATTGATCCATTTTGTTGCATAGGCCAGTAGTTTGTTCATTTTAATTGCTAAGTAGTATTCAAGTGAATGATGATTAAACAAGTTTGCTTATCTATTCACCTGTTCATATACAGTTCCCAGTCTTGGGGTTACTGTTAAATCCCTCATTAGCCAAACCCACCATAAGTGGGTAGTTTGTCAATCAGACTGATGAGTTAGCAAGACACTCTAGAGAAATATGAGAATTGGGATGCCACTGGGCAATAGGAGGAATTCTAAGGAAGTGGGGATCTGATTCTGAACCAGATGCTGTTTCTGGGGTGGAATTAGGAATAGTAAGGATTGGATGCTCTCAGAAGGTGAGTGCAGTTTAGGAAGTAAAGGAAGAGTCGAGCTAAATGAGTACTGGGCTAATAGCAGGAAGAGAGCAGTCATCTGTATATACAGCTGTTCCACCACTGTGTTTCTTATATATTCTGCAGTTTATATATTCTACCTGTCTTCCCAATGTAGTAAATAGCACGACGGCTTTTCCTTTCTTAGTTTGAAGTGATTTTTACTTTTTCAGTCTTGTTATTATTGTTGTTAAGCGCTGCCGAGTTGCTTCCTACTCATAGCGAACCTGTAAAGGATTTCCAAGGACCAGTTAATGACTTTGAACCGTTGGCCTTGTGGTTCAAACTGACCTTGTGGTCCACTGCTTTACTCTACATAACAGCGTTAAACCAGGACAGCCTTGTAAGGGGTTTTAATTCTTTCATATTATAAATACACATCAAAGTACAATTTACAGTTTTGCACTAGTGGAAACAAAACTGCTTTGTCCTTTGTGCACACATAGGCCTCTTTTCTTTTCGTAACTGCTGTGCTCCATAATGTCATCCTTCCAGGAATGCCATTTCTGCCATCTTCAAAATACTATGACTCCAGGTTTGATTGATCAGCCAATGCTAAAATAAGTAGGAAAAAGTTTGAGGAGAAACAGGATATCCTCAAAGTCTCAAACTATCTTCCCCTATGATATGTGCTGCCTGGTCCTACACCATCTTCATAATCACTGTTATGTTTGAGCCTGTTGTTACAGCCACTGTGTCAATACATCCTGTTGAGGGTCTTCCTCTTTTTCACTGACCCCCTACTTTACCAAGCATTATGTCCATCTCCAGGGACTGGTCCCTTCTGATAACATATCCAAAGTTCTTGAGACAAAGTCTCATCATCCTTCCTTCTAAGGAGCATTCTGGCTGTACTTCTTCCAAGACAGATTTGTTCATTCTTCTACCAGTCTATGGTACAGTCAACATTCTTCACCAATACCATATTTCAAAGAACAAACCTGGATCCCTGGGGTCCCAGTGCTGAAAACTTTCTAGATCCAAGAAACACGGAGATCCCCAAGTTATGATGAGCCCACAGATGCTTATAATAGACAAGGACCTTTCCCCACAGAGTTGACACATAGAGAAAGTCTTTCCTTAGAGCTGGTACCCTAAATTCAGATGTCTAGCTCTCTAAACCATAACAGATTTCTGTTTGTTAAATCCACTTGAAGTATTTCTGTGATAGCAGCTCTAGAGAACTAAGATAGTAGGCTTTCTAGCATCACCAAATTCCTCTTCCTGTTTCCTTGACCAGGTTTATTTCATACCAGGGGAAATATTTTGACCCAGTGTCATTTAGGATAATGTATCTGGTCCTCCTTTTGTGCCCACTCGCTGATGCCAGGAGCCAGAAGCCTGCCTTGCCACCCAAGGCAGCCTCAGAAGTTGTCATTGAGGATCATAATACCCAGCAATGTTCCTAGTCTCCACCTGCCCTGACATTCATTCGTTAGAAAAGAATGATATTCTAAATGATTCTTGAATTTAACAATATTAACTACTTTTCTACTCTGCTGCTAATCAGTTATTTACAATAACAGCAAGCAAAAACACAAAAGCTGTGATCGGTCACAACAAGATTTTAAGTGTATTTATGAATTATAACATTTGAGAGTATCTCGAATGAGATCAAAATTGCCTGTGCACAATACCACAGACTCCAGAGAAGAAAATACCGTTTGACAGCTTACGAAAGTTTATTTTTATCTTCTTAACTATCATATACAGAGTTGTAAGAGACCCAGATGGCAATCTATCTAACACCTCCCTCCCTTTCAGGACAATAATAGTGAAGCTCAGAGTGATTAGATAACTTTCTCTGCATCAACTGGCCATATACCAATTCAACATCCTTCATACTACCTTCCATCTCCTAACTACTCCAATTACTCATAATAGAAACTCATTTGTTTTGTGGTAATGAAGGTAAACAATTAACAATTTTTGAACTGAATAAGATTTCATTGGTAAATGCAGAGACTATTAAATTTTATTTTCCAAAAAGACAGGCTGAGGCCCAAGTACATGAAAAGGTTCCAGTCAATTAAGAAGACAAAGCAAAGTAAATACTCATGGTTCTCTTATTCCGCCCTAGGTTTCCTCCCCTATATTATAATACTTCTTCCACTTACTTTCAAACTGTTTTAAGAATTTGACAAAGAAATTGGATTAAAAATGCTGTATTTATGTTTTCTGTTACTTGAAGACATTACAGGAATTTTAAGTGCTTAAAAGTAAGACTCTAATGACACCTTTGCCTTACACAAAAGATGTTATTATCCAAGATTGTGACCACTTATTTTGCTAATAAGTAACATTAATACAAATAAATAACTTACCAAGAACGGTCAGCTGAATCTTCTTATTTCCAACACCAGGAGCTTTTTTTACTTTGCACTGATATGTACCAATATCTGATAACTGTAAATTTGTTACATTTATTGATGCATCACCAGATTTGAGATCATTACTTGTAAAATGTACTCGTCCTTTCAGATCTGGATAGTAGTTATCATAAATTTTGTCACCAGAATATAAAATAATCTAAAAGAAAACCAAAATAAGAGAGGGAAGAAAACCAGCCAACAAAGCAAACAAACAAAAACTCCCGTCTCATTAAAGGAATGATGAATACATTAAACTGTTGTTAGATAAAGAAAAAAATAGAAAAGGTAAATAAATTGTTGAATGGGAAACCTTTATGCTCTGTAAACATTCACCCAAGCCACAATAAAATCTTAAAAATAATTTTTAATATAAAGTACTTTTAAGAAAAAATAAAAAAAGAATACATTGTCATGAAAAACACATAATTCTCCAAATTACAGAATGCAAAATGGAAAGGGATCAATGTGATCCCTCAAACTGGTTCAACACTCCCACTTAATTGGAGAAACCAAGACCCAGCATAATTAAATAATATAACGAGAGGGAAGTCCAGGTGATGTAAAGCACTGGACAGAAGGTCGGTATTAATCACAAGATGAGTGGTTCAAACTCATTAGCTGCTCCGTGAAAACCCTACACAGGGTTGCTAAATCAAAACCAACTCGATGGCACATAACAACAATAATAATACATGAGGGAGTCCTTGTGTGTCACTGTAGGAGAAGCACTGGACTGTCAACCACAAGGTTGTTAGTTCAAACCTACCAGCTGTTTCTTGTAAACCCTATACAGAGTTGCTATTAGTCAGAATCAACTTGATGGCACTTAATAACAATATTTTGTTGTTGTTGTTGTTAAGTGCCATTGAGTTGATTCCGACCAATAGCAACCCTGTATAGGGTTTCTGAGGAACAGCTGGTGAGCTTGAACCACCGACCCTGCAGTTCAAATGGCTTTGCAGTCTGGTGCATCAACCCACAGCACCACACCAGGACTCCAATAACAATATATAACAGAGTTAGTCAGTGAAGACTGAACAAATACTCAGGTCTGTAAATTTTTATGGAGTCCTTGAACAGTGACAGCATGTGATGCTACCAACAGAAGTGGCGATAGCAGAGACAGTGGCAGACACGATGACAGAGATAGAGCAGCTGTGGACTCTCAGCCCATGGACTGACTAAGGCTGTGTGCCTGTGGGTCAGGAGGCAGGCTTATAAAATGTGTCCTTTGGACATTTAAATGAATATTTTTTGTTTTGTATGTGTACATCAGCTATTTTTATTTGTTGATTTGCAAAAGGGAAGCTACAGGGAGGATAGCTGTTGCAGGGAGAGGACTGGAATCATTGAGATGAAACAAAACATATAACTGATTGAGGGTAAAGATGATATTGTCTGTTAACCTTTACTTAATTCATAATAAAAAGTTAAAAACAGAAAAAAGAATAAATAATTTAAGCTGTTTCTTTGCTGTAAAGACTTTGTTTTGTGTAAGAAACTCACTATACATGATTTTTAACTTGAAAATATAAAGAAAATAGACATTGACAATATAGAACTCTGTTAAATTGTGCTATAGTTAATGACAGTTTCTAACAGTGATAGAATTCCTGTGTAAAACTGAAAAATGCACTTCTATTAAATGTCTTTTTTAAGGAAGAGGTAGGCATAAAGAGTTAAGAGTTAGGGAGGGCTATGATTGGGTCTAGACTTCATTAGGACTAGGGTAAGTGTTAGGAGTAAGGCTTGGGTTAAGGCTAGGAATAGGGTTATAGTTAGGTTTATTTTTATTTATGTTTTTATATACTTATTTAGCATTTGGATAAACTATTTACAAAATATCTATGTCATTTGTTAATGTTCTAACTAATTTCTTAGAAATATTATTTTCCCCCTCTTTTTTATTTGGAGGAAACTGCTTATTAATTGTTTGAAGTTAAATTATAATTTATTAATTTTTCCCAAGTTTTAAACTGTTCTATGTTGAAATCTACTTGATTTCTTCTTCATTTGGAAGTTTTATAAGTACATCTATTCCCTCTCTTTGTGGTTTTTGTTTTTTTTTGTTGCAAGCTGGTATTTCTGACTCCCTATTTTCAGTTTGGCACACTTACTTTGGATCTTCTATATCTGGATTGAGTTCTAGGTGATACGGTCATATATGTTAATCTAGGTTGCTCTTAGATTAGTCCTCTGTTTCTGACACAGTTTTCTCACATTGTGCACATTCCTGCTATGCTATCATGACTGCTCCATATCACTCTACACCTTCTTACTCCCCACCTCAAATTCATTTCCAAATCCAAAATTTTGAAAGCTTAGTTCAAAAAGTTCCATTCCTCCTTGAAGTCCAGTGACCTCTTTTTCCTCTGATATCTTAGGACACTTACTATCCATATCACTCCATTTCATATCCCTAACATTTCACTAAAACGAATGTTTTATTCATCTAAAAGGTCTGGGGCTTTCTTCTTAGTTCCACATGCCCACAACACTGTATACATAACAGAAGTTCACAAACATCTGCTGAGTGAGCAAAACTTTCTCCTACTTACCACTTGATCCACCTTCTGATTATCAGCTGGTGATAGTAGCCACTCGATGTCCAGTGGTCCCTGGTCTCCTGGACCAAGAGAAAATTTGCATGGCAAATAAGCAGTTTCCCCTTTGGCTTTTTCAACCATCTGGTCAGACGGAGAATCTATACTTAAGCTTCTGGTGAAATCTGGAGAAAGAAATATGTACAGGGATTAAGTGGTGGTGGTGGTAGTGATGCACCACGGAGTTGGTTCCGACTCATAGCAACCCTGTATAGGGTTTCCGAGGCTGTAAATCTTTACGGGAGCAGAAAGTTTCACCTTTCTCCCATGGAACAGCTGGTAGTTTCAAACTGCTGACCTAGTACCTCTTATTTCCCTGGTGAAATTCTGCACTTGACTGCTAGGTTGGCAGTTCAAACCCACACAGAGACACTGAATGAGACAGGTCTAACATTCTGCTTCTGCAAGGTCACAACCCTGAAGGCTCTATGGAGCAACAACAACCAAACTCTGTATGTGTGCTTACACAGGCAGATATGAAGGTACACATGTGTATGAAAAGGCATGTTAGTAAATGCATATACAAGGATGTTGCTGTTGTTGTTAGGTGTCATTGAGTCAGCACCAACTTATAGAAACCCTATGCACAAAAGGAAACACTGCCCAGTAGTGGACCAACCTCACAATCACTGCTATGCTTGAAACCATTACTGTTGCCACTGTGCCAATCCATCTCGGGGATCTTCATCTTTTTCTCTGACCCTCCACTTTATCAAACATGATATCCTTCTCCGATGACTGGTCCATCCTGGCAATATGTCCGAATTATGAGACATGAAGTTCGGCCATACTGGGTACAGGAGCATTCTGGCTGTACTTCTTCCAACATAGATTTGTTTGATCTTTTGGCAGCCCATGGTACTTTTAATATTCTCCTCCAACACCATAACTCAAATCCATCAAGGCTTCCTTATTCACTGTCCAACTGTTTCACTGACCACACTGTCTTGGCCTTCTCAGAAAAACCACATGAGCAAACCAAATACGAGGGAACAGCTGAGCATATGGCTACTCTATGATACCCAAACCAAGTCTAGATCAGCTGTCTGGAACTCCATGAGTGAGCCTAGAACTTCCCATCTCAGTAGAGCATAAACTAACTGTCAACCCACAGTCATGAAATAATGTTGTTAAGTACCATTGAGTTGATTCTGATCCATGGTGACCCTGTACAGAGTTTTCCAAGGAGTGGCTGGTGAGCTTGAACCACCAATCTTGTAGTTCAAACTGACATTGCAGTCTAACGCATTAACCCATAGCGCCACACCAGGATTCCCCTATTTTAGTGTGTCTAAAATTTGTGTTGGTTTGTTATACAGCAGAGATCAATGCTACACCATCCAAATCCACAGATTCACTCCATATGACAAGTTCGTTGTTATTGCTAGCTGCATGATTAAGTCACCCCCTTATTGTGGTAAGCTCATTCAAAACTGAACAGAAAATTCCTGCTCTGGAGGCATCCACATGACTGGTTTCAGACTGGACCATAGTGATTACCTGGGTTTTCGCTGGTTCATTTTTCAGAGTAGATACAGAAGTTTCGTCCTTGTCTTAGTCTGGAAACTTGGCTAAAAACTGTTCAATTGTTGTTGTTGTTAAATGCCATTGAGTCAGTTCCGACTCACAGTGACCCTGTATAGGGTTTACAAGGAGCAGCTGGTGAGTTTGAACCTCTAACCTTGTGGTTCAGTGCATTATCCTGATATGCCACACCAGGACTAGCAACGACGTTCCCACTGGCAGGCAGATGGTGGCTGGGCATGAGGTGCACTGGCTAAATATAGAACTTGAGTCTTCTATCACTAAATCACCACTGTCCTCTTATTATCCCCTAAAAAGTCCACACTGCTCTTTTCTCCATTTCGTGTCCACTGCTCTATTTAAGGGAGTCTTAGTCTGGTGCTGTAAGATAAAGCACTGGTCCAAAAGGTCAGTTTAAACCATAAGGTTGATGGTCCAATCTCCTCAGTCCAGCTGATCCTCGGGGTTGCTATAAGTAAGAACTGACTTGACAGAACTTAACAACAAGCTCTCTTTACGTAGTCCTGGTGTGATACCATAGGGTACTAACTGCAAAATCATCAGTTCAAATACACCTGACGTTCCTCAGAAACCTCTACACAAGGTCGCCATGAGTCGGATCCAACTCAATGGCATTTCACAACTCTACTTAAGGAGTCCTGGTATGACACTGTAAGATAAGCACTGGAATGCTAATCACAAGGTCTGTAGTTCAAACCTACCAGTCCCTCCTTGAAAACCCTATACATGGTGGCTGTGAGTCGGAACCTATTTCACGGCACTTAACAACAACAACTCTATTTCATGGGAGCACAGTGGCTCTAGAGGATAGCACTGGACTGTGAACCACAAGTTCACAGGCTGCTCCAAGAGACAGAATGAGGTTTTCTGCTATTGCAAAAGATTTACAGTCTCAGAAACCCTATACAGGATCTCTATGAGTCCAAACTGACTCAAGAACATTTAACAAAAACTAGTGGCTCAACAGCTATGCATTTAATTGCTAACTTAAACATTGGTAGTTCAACTCCAACAAGTGACTCCATGGGATAAAGACCTGGTGATCTAATTCTGTGAAGACTGTTGTATTGGTTGTTACTCACAGCCACAGTGAATAGGGTTTTTGACTAATGCTGTTGTTAAGTGCCTTCAAGTTTGTTCCAACCCATAGTGACCCTGAATAGGGTTCCCAAGGAAGGAGTAGCTGCTGAGCTTGAACCGCTGACCATGAGGTTCAAACTGACTTTGCAGTACAGCGTATTAACCCACCGCACCACACCAGGACTCCACAGTGACCCTGAATAGGGTTTCCAAAGAGGGGCTAGTGAGTTTGAACTAACAACCTTGTGGTTAGCAGTCCTGTGCTTATCCTACTGGGCCACACAGCCTAGAAAGCCCTATGAAGGCTGTTCTACTCTCTTACATGGGGGGTTACTATAGTCAATAGCAACTCAACTGTACCACCACTCTATTTAAGACTGATTTTATACGTATAAAAACGGAAGTGCTTCATTTCAAGTATTATTTAATTCTCTGAATAAAATAGGTGGTGTTGTAGGATTAGCACAAGAGCCCAGGATTGGTTTAAACTGCAAGGTCAGTGGTTCAAACTTACCAGCAGCTCCTCGGAAACCCTATGCATGGCTCGCTATACGTAGGAACCATCTGGACGGTATTTACTTACAACCACTTCTACATAAAACACTTGATTGCATTCCTACCTCACTCACTAAGGCATTCTATCTCTCTAGCTTACGATAGTTTTTCTATCCTCTTTCTTTCTGTGAATGTTCACAGTATTTCATTTCTACTATTTGCATCATCCATTCAATATTTAACATATTTTTCTTCCTAAATTTTATTGCAAAGCTGACATCAGTGAAAACAAGTTTTATCATTTTCTAGATAATGATAAATTGATCTATTTCAAGCAATGCCTTGTATTTTTAAGTGATCTTTTAAAATATGCATCCTAGTTTACCAACTGGGAGTCCTGGTGTGGCACTGTGGGCTAATGCGTCAGACTGCAAAGTCGTTTGAACTGCAGTGTTGGTGGTTCAAGCTCACCAGCTGCTCCTTGGAAACCCTATACAGGGTTGTTATGGGTTGGAATCAATTCAACAGCACTGAACAACAACAATTTACCAATTATGTCATTAGCTACCTTAGTATAGATAGAAATTGTAGGTATTTCTATAGCCTATTTACTTATTCTACATCCAAGTAAATTAAATACCTATTATAGAACTATAGAAACGGCTACAATCATACATTGACAGAGAGCTTCCAGAGGTTCAAGCTGGATTCAGAAGAGGCTGTGGAACGAGAGATATCATTGCTGATGTCTGATGGATCTTGGCTGAAATCAGAGAATACCAGAAGGATGTTTACCTATGCTTTATTGACTACGCAAAGGCTTTTGATTGTGTGGATCATGACAAGCTATGGACAACATTGAAAAGTATGAGTATTCCAGAACACTTAATTGTACTTC